CCGTGACAGGCTCATCATCTTGGGTTGGAGATGGGCCAGCACTTTGTTACCAGCCTTGCAAGGACACAAACATCTCTGCTGGATGCCCGCTCATCCCACGCATCTGGGCTCAGAGAAGATGCTCCCTGAGGCTCCTCCTTTTGGCTCTCGGGTTCTGAAGTTAAATAATTTTACAAGCCTGATAGAGGCGGTCAGCCAGGTGCACCCTGGGAGAGAAGTTTCCAAGAGACTGACTCAGAAAATTTTGGTTCTGTTTACCATTTACTGAGGGCCTACTATGCACCAGGCACTGGTCTAGTTGCTTTCAGTTACATTATCTCAGAGCAACCCCTTGAGGTTACCCATTTCAGAGAAGAGGAAACTGAGACCTTGTATCAGTTGCCTAGGGCTGCCGTAACAAGTTACCACAAATGGTGTGGCTTAAAACAACAGAACTCTCCAGAGTTCTGGGGGCCAGAAGTCTGAAATCAAGGAGTCGGCAGGTCCTTCCTTTCTCCTAAAGCTCTAGGGGAGAAACCTTCCTTGTGTCTTCCATCTCTTGGTGGCTCCAGACATTTCTTGGCTTCTGGCAACATCACTCCAATCTCCACCTCTGTCTTCACATGCCTTCTTCTCTGTATACATCTGTGTCACAACCCCCTCTGCCTTTCTCTTGTAATGACATCTGTCACTGGATGTAGAGCCCTCTCTAAATCCAGGAAGATCTCGAGATCTTTAACTTGATTACACCTGCAAAGTCTCTTTCTCCAGATAAGATCACGTTCACAGGTTTCAGGGGTTAGGACTTGGACATATCTACATGGGGGCCACTATTCAGCCCACTGCAGCCCTCTGAGTATGATCTAGTTGCTTCCCTAAGGTCACAAGTGAGAAAGGGTCCCAGTGAGGTGTGGAACCCAGGCTGGCTGTCTCTGAGCTGAGACTCTGCATGGAACTTCCATCAGGTTGTCACTCATCAGACGCTGTGAGGCAGCGCTGCTGTCAGTGCTGAGATACAACATGATGCATCGGGCCCCTGTTCTTAAGAAACTGGGTGAGAAGGAGCTTTGCATGTTGGTTACGAGTGAGAGCTCTTGAGTCGCATTGATCCAAATTCATAATCCGGCTTTGCCACTTCTAAACTGGATGACCTTGGGCATTATGTCACCCCTCTTGTGTCCAATAGAGAAACTGTCTCATATGTAAAATGGGGATCATATTAAGAATAACAATAACCACAGAGGGTTGTGGTTAGGATCAAATGAG